ATCATCACAACATGAGTACATGTCACCACTGTCTGTACATCATTACAACATGACTACATGTCACCACTGTCTGTGTATACATCATCACTCTATGAGTACATGTCACCACTGTCTGCATATACATCATCACAACATGAGTACATGTCACCACTGTCTGTGCATACATCATCACAACATGACTACATGTCACCACTGTCTGTGTATACATCATCACTCTATGAGTACATGTCACCACTGTCTGTGCATACATCATCACAACATGACATGTCACCACTGTCTGTGCATACATCATCACAACATGAGTACATGTCACCACTGTATGTGCATACATCATCACAACATGACTACATGTCACCACTGTCTGTGCAAACATCATCACTATATGAGTACATGTCACAACTGTCTGTGCAAACATCATCACTACATGAGTACATGTCATCACTGTCTGTGCATACATCATCACTACATGAGTACATGTCAACAGTTACATTTAAATCTTACCTGTAGCCACATTTCTACACAATAAATTAGTTAATTTAACAATAGGACTATGTGTATTTTTCACTTCCTCTTTTACAGTCTGTACAGTACTACTATGACATTTTAATACAAATCTGTTGTCGTCTTTCTGTAATAGAACCAGTATATCCTCCAGTAAAAGAACATGCAGATCTGTAAAAGAATAAAAACATAGTTATATTATTAAAGACTTTTAATGACCTCCAATTCGTCTGGGTATCTCAAAATAGATAAAAGCTGTAGAGCAGGTTTCTTAGGTCCAAATTTGAAGATTGAATATGACTTTATATGTACCCACTAATATGCATATTAATTCTCTCAGAAGATGCTTTGGTCATGCAGGTCCATGCAAAATAGCAGCTTGTCAGTTAAAGCATTCATCAGACACAAAACCGTGCCTATTTTGCTGAAAACCCAAGATAGTGGCTAAAACAGGTGTCTGATCAAAATTATTTTATTTTTTTGTAAGAAGCTATGGCCATATATGCCAGTCCGATTAAAGCACTCCTGAGAAACAAATGCCTGAAATGATACATTATTGTTTTCATCAAATTCAAGTGCTGACTTTGATACCATAACACTCACCTATTGATTTGGCTCTTCCTAACCTCCAAATCAATGGTCCATCATGTAAAAGTTTTCGAGAATTTAAATCAATATTCTGCAAAAAAATGAATAAATAAGTGATGGGTGTGATAATTAGCTTATTTATGCTTATTAACTATAAAATATGCTATGAATATTCAAATATGAGTAATAAAAAAATATATAATACATATCATAGGTATTTTGAATATGCATATAATGATTAGCATGCACATAAACTATGCAAATAAGGAACTAGTATGCACATATGTAACAATATGCAAATGAGGAATTAGTATGCACATATGTAACAATATGCAGATGAGGAATTAGCATGCACATATGCAACAATATGCAGATGAGGAATTGGCATGCGCATATGTAACAATATGCAAATGAGGAATTAGCATGCACATAAGAAACTATGCAAATTAGTATGACATATGCAACAATATGCAAATGAGGAATTGATGTGCATATGTACAATATGCAATTAAAGAAAAGGCCAGCCCCTGTATACAAAATATACAAATGAGAAATTAGCATGCACATAAGAAACTATGCAAATGAGGAATTAGTATGCACATATGTAACAATATGCAAATGAGGAATTAGCATGCACATAAGAAACTATGCAAATGAGGAATTAGTATACACATATGTAACAATATGCAAATGATGAATTAGCATGCACATAAGAAACTATGCAAATGAGGAATTAGTATGCACATATGTAACAATATGCAAATGAGGAATTAGCGTGCTAAAATTCAAGAGTATGCAAATGAGGAACTAGAAGAGCTTATGAACAATATGCAATTAAAGAAAGTCAGTGCCTGTATAAACAATATGCAAATGAGAAATTAGCAAGTGCATTTTGATTTATGTTTCTACATACCTTGAATTCAGTAATTAGTGTATTGTTAGACTTCTCAAAAGGACTTTTGTCAGTCTTTTTCACCATTTCTTGTAATCTGATTTGGTTTTCAGCATCTCTCACAGCAATATTCACATAGCCTAAAATGGATTTACAACAGTCACGCGCCCTACTGACTTTTGCATGGTCCGTTTTACCTAAAAAATAATAATAAATAGGTTTAGTTTGATTTCAAAACATCTCCATTGCTTTCTATAAAAAGGTAAATAATTAATTAATATATACTTCATTCTTTTAACTTTTTTAACTCCATATATATCCCAAGAGGTATAATTATGTGTGAAAATGAATCTGATCAAGCCCAGTCATTTCTGAGAAACAGATGTGGTCACACTAGACACAAAGAGGTCAATTCAAAAGTTCACATTTATGTACTTACTAGAACTGGTATATTTTAAAATACTTTCTAGTAGCATTGGATATTTGGTTAATCTTTGAAAAACACAGGGAATAAAATCTTTTAACTGTAGTCGTCTGCAGTTGGGATTATTCTCGGCATCCTTTAAAAAAAAAAAAAATATTATCAGAGCTGATAAAGGATTTTTTAGCATATTTATTTGACATTATGAAAGTTTCAAATTTCAACATGTGAATAAAAGAACTGAGATTGAACAAATATAAATCAAATGTGAACATTCAAGTGGTTTACAAGAAGTGTACTTCATTTTCGCTAGGAATTATTTTCGCTGAAGGAATGATTCAGTGAAAATAAAATCCAATGAATATACCTTTTCCCCCCTAAAGTTTACATTCAACTTAAATTTCATACAAAACACTAAAAAGTCTTTTCAGCGAAAATTAATTCCATCTAAAATAAACTATTTTAAAGTATTGCAGTTGCGTTGGAGCATGTATACAAGGCAGAATTTGATACGATGAAAAAACCTATCAATAAACAAGTTGTTCTCTGATTGGTTGGACTGTTAGGTTAGCTAGCCAATCACAATGATGCAACAATCAAAATAACCACCTCATTATTTACTTCATGTGCTCTATAGTAAGCAAACATTGTCATGATTTAACACCATGACCATGTATTCTTTTATATTCATCACAGCTTTCAGTAAAATGGCTTCAATGATTTGCTATTCAACTTCAATCCACCTTATTTTGTTATTCATATTGTATACTCTTGGAAATCAGACAACGTGCAAATATTCAAACAATAAGTGAAATTGTAAAAAACAGGCGGTGGAAGTGGATTGGACATGTGTTATACATGGAAAGGAATGACATACAAAGAATCGCTTTAACATGAGCACCAGAGGGCAAAAGAAATGTGGGAAGACCAAAAGAGAAATGGAGAAGAACTGTGGAAAAGGAAAAAAATCAATTTGGATACAAGAATTGGGAAGAAGCAGAAGTAGCGGCTCAAGACAGTGAAGCATGGAGGAGGAGTGATACTGGCCCTATTCTTCACCAGGAGACAAGGAAATGATGATGATGATTGTATACTCACAGCTAAAAACCTTGCTAGTTTGTCATCTTTTTTTTGTTTTGCTTTAAGCAAATCTAAAGCAAGACTTTGATGCCTGCAAAAGATTGCACATGCTTCCTTTAGTGATTCTCCTTCTTCACCATCAAACTGCAAACAAATATAAAGTTGGAATAATTAAGTAATAATAATTAAATAGTATACATTCAAATTGTAATTACATGCCCAAAGCTATATTCCTGGTAAAGATTTGAACAGACATGTGCTTGAAGTCTGCCATTTGGAGTCCAACAGTGAACACACATTGACACAGGCCCTCTATAGTCCAGAAGTTAATTCATTTTGACAAAGGCCCTCTGTAGTCTAGAACTTAATCCATAATGACACAGGCCCTCTATAGTTCAGAAGTGAAACAATTTTGACACAGACCCTCTGTAGTTCGGAAGTTAATCAATTTTGACACTTGGCTGGTTCCCACAACAAGTGTAATTGCTCACAAAGCTACAAGAGGCCAGTAACTAGTAATGGGTCCAGCATTCTGACTGATTTATTATGTTCTCATTTCTTGTTTCATTTCTCTTGGTTACCTAACATCAGTGCTTACGTTCTATATATAGAACAGTGTTTTCCTTTTGATTTCATGAATATAAAACTGTTATCACTTTGCACAAAAATATCGAAAAGAACTAGAACCATCTCAAGTTTGTAGTTTAAGCAGGCAGAATCAATGGACGCGGCATTATTGTATTATTACATACACATTTACGTAGAATGAAACATGGAATGTTTTCAAATTACGTCACTCAGTCACATGACTTTGGGACAGAATCTCGGCCCAATGGAACAATATGGTGATTACTTGCATTACACACGTTCTACTTGCAATTCGCAATGGACGTCACAAACCAGAATATTTTGGTCCTTTTTATTCCGGAAGTGACTTCACACCGACACATGCCAACTGTAGTTGACGTCAATGGAGTAGAAACATGTAATATAGCATTACAAATTCTACTTACCCTTGCCAATAAAATGTCCCCAACCTCATCAATGGTATGACATGTTTTCCTCTCTTTTTTCATGGCATTGTTTAATGAGATGTGCATTTCAAGTAGATCCTCCAAATTTGGAAACAGTAATTGTATAAATTCTTTTTGCGCCAGGTGCTCCTGCTGCATTGGTTTCATGAAAACACGATCAAGGATTTTCAAATTTCGCACATGTGACTTCTCTGTGTGGAATAACTCTGCAAAGAAGTAAGAGAGACAAGTAAATATGACAGCATAGCAAGTTTTTAATTGTCTGGGTCAGAAATTATATATAACCAGGCATTTATGTAGATTAGGTTCTAATTGAGTTTTCAGCTTCTTAAGGTGTCACAAAGTCCATCAAACTTTACACAAAACTCATATTTTGACCATTGACCAAAAATTTGAATGATGGAAAAAGAAAATAACATCAACTTAAACACTCGATAGAGATCGCATGATGATGAAAGAATTGTCTATGCACAGCTTTTTAAACTGACCAAAGGTCTCATAAGAATAGTGTATAGCAAGTGGAATGAAATATGGATTTAGGTCAAATTCAGGACAAATCACAAGACAAATTATTCCTCTCTTACCATTGATGACTTCTTGCCTCTTGATTTCTTTGGGTTTCAATTTTTTCAAGAGATCTCGATCAACTGCCGTCTGCCAAGCAGGTGGATCTGTCTCTGCTTCCATATCAGAGTCATACTCCTCTGACAGCGTTGAAGAATCTTGACTCCTGAAATGATGGCAAGGTTTCATTAGTTTTACTATGTTTTACTTTGAACAGTGGTTATAAGGACAATCATAAAGATGCATATGCATTTTTCTCCTGCTGGTGTTATAAATATAACTCGTGTAGTATTTGACATCAGACAAGTGACCTGGTGGTTGAAATAGCTCCACTGTCCTACAAGAACATTGTGGTAATGTGATTTTGTCAAAATGGAAATCTACTAGCCTAGATATGAATATCCAACAGGCTTTTCAAAAAAATTATTCATTAACTGGGATTCCACTTTTTTCAAGAAGATAGATAAGTTTGAAAGACTTGAAGAAATTACCTTTATTCTGAGCTTCAGAAACCCCATAAACAAACAAAAAATAATAATACTCACTTGGCAGAAATACTTGATGAGGAATTCGTTAGAGAACTAGTAGCATTTGTAACTGCTGCCACATCCATATCCACATCGCTAAAATGTAACAAACGAACAAATGAACAAACAGTGAATAATCATAATGATCACAATAGGTCATTAATCTACCCACAATGCATTGGATATGCAAATGACCATCTGAAAACTTCCTTATATGGATGCCAACTTTCCTATATTTGGTCACAGAATACCCACAGTGCACCAGTGTATTTTTTTTTGTGAATTAGCCATGCATTACAATTTAAATATATTGGAAAGGGTAAGAATTGATTAAAATATAGAAAAGGTTAAACAATGAAAACAAAATGTAGGAAAGAAAATATATATAACATGACTTACTCTACAGATCTGGTATGTCTCAGATAACTACTTAACATCCAACAAGAAACATAATAGAAATTAGGACAGAAAAGGAGGATGGGATTAAAATGATGTTAATGCAGATGAATTCTACGAGTTAGTCTACACGAAACTATCAGACTAGAAGATGAAAAAAGTAGTGAGTGTGTGTCTCCTTGGTGTACAATGCTTCACTGGTAAAACATTATGGTCGAACATAGTGGTGTAATGGCTTCACTGTGTTCTACTGTTAGAACATTACATCAGAACATAGTGGTGTAATGGCTCTACCATGTTTCACTGGTAGAACATTATGGCAGAACATAGTGGTGTAATGGCTGTACCATGTTTTACTGGTAGAACATTATGGCAGAACATAGTAGTGTCGTGGCTGTATTATGTCCCACTGGTAAAACATTATGGTAAAACATATAGTGGTGTAATGGCTTTACCATGTTCTACTGTTATAACATTACATCAGAACATAGTGGTGTAATGGCTCTACCATGTTTCACTGGTAGAACATTATGGCAGAACATAGTGGTGTAATGGCTGTACTATATTTTACTAGTAGAACATTATGACAGAACATAGTGGTGTGATGGCTGTACTATGTAGTAAAATGGCTGTACTATGTTTTACTAGTAGAACATTACGGCAGAACATAGTGGTGTAATGGCTCTACCATGTTTCACTGGTAGAACATTATGGCAGAACATAGTGGTGTAATGGCTGTACCATGTTTTACTGGTAGAACATTGTGACAGAGCATAGTAGTGTAGTGGCTGTATTATGTCCCACTGGTAAAACATTATGGTAAAACATATAGTGGTGTAATGGCTTTACCACGTTCTACTGTTAGAACATTATATCAGAACATAGTGGTGTAATGGCTCTACCATGTTTCACTGGTAGAACATTATGGTAGAACATAGTAGTATAGTGGCTGTATTATGTCCCACTCGTAAAACATTATGGTAAAACATATAGTGGTGTAATGGCTTCACTGTGTTCTACTGTTAGAACATTACATCAGAACATAGTGGTGAAATGGCTGTACTATGTTCCACTGGTAGAACTTTATGGCAGAACATAGTGGTGAAATGGCTGTATTATGTGTTTCACTGGTAGAACATTATGGTAGAACATAGTAGTGTAGTGGCTGTATTATGTCCCACTGGTAAAACATTATGGTAAAACATATAGTGGTGTAATGGCTTCACTGTGCTCTACTGTTAGAACATTATGGCAGAACATAGTGGTGTAATGGCTGTACTATGTTTTACTAGTAGAACATTATGGCAAAACAGTGGTGTAATGGCTGAACTATGTTTTACTGGTAGAACATTATGGCAGAACATAGTGGTGTAATGGCTCTACCATGCTTCACTGGTAGAACATTATGACAGAACATAGTGGTGAAATGGCTGTACTATGTTTCACTGGTAGAACATTATGGCAGAACATAGTGGTGAAATGGCTGTACTATGTGTTTCACTGGTAGAACATTATGGCAGAACATAGTGGTGTAATGGCTGTGCTATGTGTTTCACTGGTAGAACATAGTTGTAAAACAGCTGATGAGAATTATTTATACATGTGTGTCAATGGTAATAGTGGACAGACAATCCATCCAGGTAATAGGAAAGGTACAAAGCCATGTAATAGCCAGGAATTGACAAACTGGCATGTTTCATCAATAAAGTGGAGAGCAGTTGATTCCATATTATGTTGAGTCATAATGTTGTACCTGGGCATGACTTCTCATTTTTTTTAAATACATGTAACACAAAATTCCCTTTGTGGTATTAAATAAGGTAAAATCTTAGTATGGTCATATAGGGTTTGTACTTTGAAGTTGAGTGAGCACCATTTTTGAAATGACCCTAGCATATAGGAATAACACAGAAAATATCAAAGGACACCAAGAAAAACTCATTGTGCATCAAGGCCTTTGATGTCTCTGTAAAGTTCAAGCCCTGGTCATGTTCCAAGTAAACATCAGTTAGAATTTTTGTTCAAACAACATTCATTGTATGCTTTTATAAATAAACATCACCATGTAGTATGACCTGTTATCATATGTTTACTTATTTGACACCACAAAGGTTATATAGGCCCAGTAGTACATGGATTTAAACAAAAATACAAAACAACTGACATATAAGGCAGCTTGCATCCCTTTTTATAAACACATACAGTGTTAAGCTGGCCAAAGACAACACAAGCAGGCATCCTAACTGCATGGTTTAACTCTTTGAGCATCATAATATCTTTGTTATAAAAAATACATAAAGTATTTTTTTTTGATAATTTTGATCCACATAAACATACTTCCCTATTGGCTATAAATCATGAACAATTATGAAAAATATTATGTGGATTTTAAATCTGTGAATGGTGTCAAAAGTTGACTTTGTCGTTCAAAGGGTTAAACAAGCTACCAAAACTAATTATCACTGTCAGCATGATGTGATCTTACAAACTTATATTAAAATAGCTCAATCAAATTTTGAATGTTTAGCAGCCTGGTGAAAGGTTGTAATCAGTTTAGTAATGTTGACTGTACTCGCCATCTTATATATTATTTGACTATTTCTCTGATTACCATACCTTTTTGACCGTTTTGAGCCCTCGTGGCCACTCCCCATCCTCTTCCTGGTATCCTCCTGAAATATGAAAAAAAAAAATCAGCTTTATAAACTCCACAATTGAGAACCATGGTGACTAGATACCAGATAGGCTGTAACAACATTACAATTACAATTACAATTAAGCAATAAAATATATTGAGTTGCATTACGAGTAATGTCATTTTGAATATTGCATTGTGGGTAATTTGACAGCAGAGAGGCCATATTGAATGTTGCACTATGGGAAGTCTCACCTGTGTTCTGAGGCTCCCCGATCTCTTCACAGTAGCTTTCTCTTGCCTCTCACTATCCATGAGTTCTGGACTTCCTTCACGTGGAGTTCCTGGACTTTGTAAATCTTGATTCGAGTCGCCCTTTCCTCTTTCAAGATCCTTAATTAATTTCCCTACTTTTTGACTGTCTTTCAGCATTTCTGAAATGGAAAACATAGTGAAATGAATGTAGCCTTGTCCAGTGCAGGTACGATTAATAACATATCTGTAGTGTAATGTATGTGGCAATCAAAGGTTTCAAAGATGTATATAAATATATGCTCTCCGACAGATCGATGCTTAGATATGTTTATGCTTAAAGAGATGTCTGTGCTTTCATCTACATCTAAGCTTTCTGAGATATTTATGC